GGGGAGGAGGAGGGGGAAGAAGAGGAAGCGTGAGAGGAGGAGGAGGGAAAGGAGGATGAGGAAGGGGCGGAGGAGGGTTCTTGCCAGTGAAGGGCTGGTGGGACGACAAGCTCAGGGAGGTGCCTGCCAGGAGGTATGGACACCAGGTGCTGCCTGTCCTTGTCGCTCGGGGCCTGGGCTCCACACTGAATCGAGCAGAGACAGGAACAGGGGCCAGGCCGAGGGCTTCCAGGGGTGGACGCTGGGAGGAGAAAACTGGGGCAAACTAGGTCGGGACTCTCAAAGTTTTGACGACCTTTTAAGTTCCCCATTTGTAAGAGTGTTTTAATCTTTGGAAACTTGGAGATGAAAAATAAAGAAAAAATGAGAAATCTGGCAAATAAACTCCTTTCCCTAGGAGTTCTGAAAGGGTTTTCACTGGGAAAAAGCATGACATAAACTGACTCTATTTTAATCTCCCAGATTCCCTTCACATAAACCTACCAGGCATTTCAACATGTATAAAACTGCTACTTTTAATCACTTAGTGTATGCAAAGTTGGCTGAAGAAGAGCAGCACTTCCAACATCCCTGACGGATGCCGATCTGCACCTGCAGTTATAGGCACCTACCTATGGAAATGCTCCTGGATGGGCCGATAGGCTACGCGCACAGACCTGTGCACATGTGGGTCTGAGCACACAGGATGATGAACGCACGCACACCTGTGCACATAGGTGGGTAGCCACACCTGTGTCTGCACACGGTGATGAATGTGCATACACCTGTACACTTGTGAGTGGACACACCTGTCTGCACACAGGGTGATGAATGCACACACACCTGTGCACACATCTGTGGACACACCTGTGTCTGCACAGAAGGCGATGCTTTTGGGCATCTTCATCTTGGCTGTTCTGAGGTGGTCTGCAGGGCTGCCCGGACCTGACCTGAACACTGAGCCCTAAGCGGCCCCTGCCTCTCACGACGCTGCCTCCCTTTCTCCTTGGCCAGGCTGGGTGCTGGAGGACCCTGCTTGGGGGGACACCCCGATTCCGGCTGCTCCTCACTGTCCCTCTCCAGGAGTGCAGATCCCAGCACCTTGTGACTGGGGTGTCAGGACAGAGTGGAAGGACGCTGTGATAACCAACCACCCAAACAGGAAATTTGTGACTGGTCACCACCCACTGGAAGAGTGGGCAAAACAAACCAAATTTTAAGACCTCTGGGAGGTTCCTGGGAGCGGGCAGCTGTCTGAACGTGGCCTGCTGCCTTTCCACTCTAGGTACGAGATCCCGTCATGACACATGAGCAGGATGAGTGACAGTGGGAGAATGCGTGCCTCCCACACGGGAGCCCTGGGCTCCATCCTGGCAGCACACAGCACAAGACCCCACGCCCACGTCTGCGTGCCCCAGGTCACGTGTCCATGCCTCTCTCAGGAGGTGCTGTGGAGCAGTCCTGGGCTGGAGGGCAGTTGTGAGGGCAGAGCTGGTGCAGGGACCAGTAGCCTCTGACCCAGGAGGCCTGTTATGATCTGGACCTGGGGTGTCCCCAGAACTCATGTGCGGGACAAGGCAGGAGAGTTCAGAGGTGAAGAGATGGGGTCCTGAGACCTGAGCCTACTGGTGCATCAGCCGTGTGAACAGAGGAGCTGGGTGGTGACGGCGTGCAGGTGGGGTGTGGCTGGAGGAGTGGGTCCCTGGGGTCTGCCTTGGGTCGATGTTTTGCCCTGGTGAGCAGAGCTGCTTCCTCGCTGTCACATCCTGAGTGCTTCACTCCACCACGCTCTTCCACCATGACGTGCTGCCTCATCTGGGCCGGAGCTCAGAGTCGGCCATCTGTGGACTGAACCTCTGAAACCACGAGCCACAAAGCCACTTCCTCCTCTGCTGATTGTTCCAGTCAGGTCTTCCGGTCACAGCCACGGAGAGCTGGCTAAGCAGAGCCCCCACGAGTCAACAGGTCTGCAAGGCCTGGGTCCCCCAGGGCTGTGGGAAGAGGGGCTCTGGGTCCCTGCAGCCCCGGTTGGCCAAGGCCCTCTGACCCGCCAGCCCACTGTGAGTCCCTGATGGGAGAAAGGGCACCAGGTCTCGGGAGGTGCCTGAAATGTCTGCAGGGCAAAACACAGGGGCAGAGGTGCCCCTGCTCCCAGGCTGCCGGGAGGGATGCACTGGGACTCAGGCTTCAGGTTGGTGCCTGTTGGATGAAGAGGAAAGTGTGTGGAGGGCAACACCATCTTCCTTCTCMAACAGTGACGGGAGCCTGGCCTCCGCTGCGGCCACCGGCTCACCCCTCACCAGCCACACCCTCCGTGAGCACAGGACGTCTGGGCAGCACCACACCCCCTCTTTGCTCTGTCTTTTACAGCTGTGACCGCAAGCCACAGTCCACAGAATCAAAGGGCAGGAGGGGCCGGTGGGTGACATGGGGCCCCCCAGTGCTGCCACGGTTCCAGCAGCCACGGTGGGACAGCAGCTGGAGGCTTGCCAAGGCCAGCTGCCCGTTGGCAGCAGCTTCTAAACTGTGCCAGGCTGGATCCTGTGTGAGCACACCTGTTTGTGCACACAGTGTGTCGGGTGCACATGTGTTTTTCATGTGCACGTTTTGTGCACACGCGTGCATGTGTGTGCATGTTGAAGTGTTCACTCCCTGTGCCCTGCTCTCCTCCCTGGGCTGTGGGCCAAGGACCCGGTGTGCTCCGGTGCTGTCTTCCTGGACCCAGCCCAGGCTCTAGACCCCACCTCTGGTCTGATCCTCTCCTCACAGTCTGGGGAACAGGAGGTGGTAGTCCAGCCCCAGCCCCTGACCCTGCAGGCAGGACACAGGTGTAGTGACCCTCGGTTTGGGCTTCTGAGGGTCCAGCAGGCCCCACATGGAACCTGCTCTGGTGGGCTTAGAGGGCTCTGCTGCCGGCGGCTGCCCAGGAGGAAGCCACACCGCCTCCAGCCCAGGCAGGGAAGCTCCACAAGTCTCCTGCTCAGGGCGGGTCGGACACGCTCCATGCTCCTCCCAGCACCCTCAGAAGGAGGCCTGCTGCTGCTCTGGGGCTGCTATCCTGGCGTCTACTCCGAGGCTAATGTGGGTCCGGGGGAACCRAGGTGGGAACAAAAACGTGCAGAAATGGAGCTGGAGAGAAACTGCTTCCCGCTGGGCAGAAGGAGTCTGGCTCCAGGGCAGTTGGCTGCTCAGAGCTTGGCTCTTCTCCAGACACACTGTGGCCCCTCCCTCCTGCGCGGTCTCTGCCCTCCTCTGCCTGCTCTGGCCTCCCTGGTTCAAAATGGCAGGGCCCAGGGCTTGGGGCACAGCTGCACCCTCTGTTCTCCAGAGTGCGCCGGGAACGGCCGGGCACCCGCAGCTGCTCTTCCAGGAAGGCATCATGGCGTTCCACACTGGACTTGCTGCTAGTCCTGGTCTGGATCCTGCCCAGTTGCCTCACTCATGGGCATGGTCCTCGTTATTTCAAGGTGACTGGGCATGGGCCAGCCGACAGCAGCCTTGGGAATGGCCTGGCCTGGGAGGCTGGAGATTCCCTGTGTAGGGGCTGGCCATGGGCTGCTCCAGCCATTCGCTGTGGAGGAGCCTGGTGCTACCTGGAGGCAGGGCTGGGCCTTGGGTCAAAGGGGCAAGAGGTGCTGAGAGCTGCTGCTCAGGGGACTCGGGGACTGGGGGGTCTGCCAAGGGTCTCTGTTTCCTTGGTGGAGAGCTAAGGAAGACCACTCAGGAGAGCAGGGCTGAGACCACCAGAGAGAGGGATCTGGACACTCCCTCATGTCCACTGCTGTTACACACAAGGGGACCCTGTGTCAGGATCAGAGCTGGGAGAACATCCACCTGGACTGGGTGTGGAGACAGGGCTGTGCCTCAGCTGGTGACTCCATGGTGTGTAGAACAGCAGTCCTCAGGCTGTGCCTGCCCTAGTGACTCCATGGTTTACAGAACAGCAGTCCTCAGGCTGTGCCTGCCCTAGTGACTCCATGGTGTACAGAACAGCAGTCCTCAGGCTGTGCCTGCCCTAGTGACTCCATGGTGT